GGCGCCTGCCACAACGCCCGGCTATTTTTTTTTTGGTTGCAGCCGTCGTTGTTTGGCTGGTCCGGGCTGAGGATTCGAACCCGCCACCTTAGGTGTACGTGGCTGGCGCCTTAGCCGGTTGAGCTAAAGGCACCGAGCCAGTGTTCTTTTTTTTTTAAAGTAAGTAGGGAAGGCAAGATTATTTGGGTTTGCACAAAAATGCCTTAGTAGGGACATTGTTGAATCATAGTAAAAATTTATAGTTAGCACATTAATTTATGCATTCTTATTAGAGCATCATGGTAGTGTAAACATATTTAATAAATCATAATTTAAACTCAACCTTTGTAGAATGCCTCCTGCCTCCTGTTAACATAACCCTTAGACTTTATGGAACCTGCTTTCTTGCCACAGCTGTAGATGAATTGTCAAAGATTATTGACATTTATTTATTTTCAGGGTAAGAAAGAGAGATTTTATTTAGGAAGAACAAAGAGAAAGTTTAGATCCCTTCCAAAGAGAGTTGGAAGTGTGTCTTTCTCATGAAAGAAAGAATGTGAAGATACTAATTAATGACTCTAAAGACATTTTTAGTTCTTTTAAGAATTAGCTCTTGGCAAAGGAGGACATCGATGCTAAAATATAAGGAAAATTTCATGTACTTTATTTTTCAGATGATTATTCCTATTAAAATAAGTTGATCACTGTTCATGCATAGTAGCTATCACAATTTAAAGACTAGACAGAGATAATTTCTTTATTGGAAATTTCTTACGATAAGATGTTGCCATCCTGTTGTGTCTCATGAACCTTTTTATTTTCCAATCAGCCTCTTTATGGCACCCTTAAACTCCTTATTCCTTAGTGTATAAATCAATGGGTTCAAGCTAGGAGTAACAATGGAATAAAAGATACTGAGAAGTTTGCCCTCATGCTGACTTGGACTGTTTCCTGGCTGTATGTACATGTAAATAACAGTTCCATAAAAGATGGATACCACAATGAGATGTGAGGAACAGGTCCCAAATGCTTTTTGTCTTCCTGCTGCAGACTTGATCTTGAGTACAGCTATAGCAATGAAACCATATGAAACAAGTATAAGAAGAAGTGGGGTAAAGAAAATAAAAAAACACAATGCAAATATAGTTTCCTCCATGGCTGTGGTGTCCACACATGCAATCTTCACCATTGCAGATATTTCACAAAAATAATGATCCAAGTGGTGATTTCCACATCTAG